AGACTCCATAAACGATTTTCTCGGGATTAATTCGGTGAGTATAATGCGGATTCAAGACGAGCCGCCGGCCGGATCGCCCGTCTGATTCCTCAAACTCGACCAAGCCTAGAAGGATGACCTAATGAGGCTCACGTGAGGGACGGGGAAGCGATTGTGCGCGGCGCACTGAGCCTTTGTCGTTTCTGTTGTAAATGTCGTCAGCTACTTGAATGAAGGTCTTCCGGGTGTAAACGGGCGACAGGAGGACCTCATATAGTTCCATACTCAGGCCTCTATCATATTCGGCCTTCACAACAACTCGTTTCAAACAGGGGTGATTCTGCTGCTGCTGCTTCTACCTGCCAATTGATTGGGGGTCTCGCATTGCCGAACTCGTCCACGCAGTCATCAAGGAGGAGGTCGTCTTCTCCGAACGTTTTGCAGAGATTCGATACGATTGTCATGAAGCCTGGTATCTGGCAATTCTTTGCTATGATACCGAGTTGGAGGGTATCCAGACATATCTACGGTGGAATCATCTCCATCGATTGAATTGCCGATTTTGAATACACTCACTGCGTCGATGCGCTCAGACGGCAATACTGCAGCAGTAATGAGCTCCTTGTGCTCACTGAGAAGCAGCATTACGACGATATGGCTTTGCCATGCATGCCGCCTCACAGCCACACAACGAACCTGTGATGAATTTAAGCCTATACTATCTCCACCATGTTTTTCATGCCTACCACATTTTCTGTGTCCTCCCGTATCGCCTCACCAGCGCTGATCTCCATCAACTCCGGCGGGAGTATCAAAAACGCTTTCGCTCTATCGGCTATACATCTTTGCCTCATATCGACAGCCGAAAAGACCGACCCCTTCAACACCCACACCTTGAGACCCCAACGCCCAGATGGGATCAGTTAGACCAGATCAAGAGGCTACCACACTCACCTTGCTTGCGATATCTTGCTGGCGTTTCTCTTTCAACCAGGAGCGCATGGCAGGCTCAGCCAGACTTCTATCGGGTAGAAGGAGTACCTGATCCTCAGGCGCTAGTGGACACCAAAGTAACAGAAGTAAGGACGCAATAGCATGGAATCAACCTCCACCTTGATGCTGATATTCATTTATAGACTTTTCGATTGCCAGAAATATAAAAATATTGAAATTAAATGTTCCGGCAACACTCATATTGTCGCGGATAAAGACGACTTTGTTCATAAAAACACTTTCAACCTCGAACGGTTCGCTGCTCTAGCGGGGGGGGACTTGAGGTCAATAGCATTGTTATTGTCCTCTAGGAGGACGATGGAATGGAGAAGGGAGATGACTTCTCTTCCTTCTCCATTCCATCGAATGGTCCACGGACGGCGAAAAGAACCTTGACGTTAGGCAACTCACAACATCAGGGGTCCCGGTCGCCCATTCACCAGCAGCTGACGGAAACCATTTGGATAGCCGCTCAACGATACCAGACGACGAAATGTTGCTCGACTCGGGCAATGCTGATCTGATGGGTGGTAAGGCAGTATACAGGAAAATGCATGGGAGCAGTTCACTCGGTCGCTGTTTCGGCCTCAACACTGACGCAATGATCTGGATGGAATATTTCTAAGAGGACTGCTTTTAGATTCTCTGCTGACGGGTTTCCTGCAGTGACATCAAAATGCAATGATAATGCATTTCCCTTGCCTGTGATGACTATATGTCCGCTACCCGTCCCTCGATAGCTACCGCCGCCCCGTTTGTTCATCATATAAACCTGACCCAACGTGCACTAGTCCCCCTTGTCGCAGAAGCTCTACTTGTGCTAGATGATGGGTGGCGATTGAAAAGCCTATGATTCCACTTAAGACCCATAGAAGAGTAAATACACGGCCGAGTACCGTTTCAGGTGATATATCGCCGTAACCAACAGTGGATACCGTAACGCAAGCAAAATAGACCGCTGTAAGAACTCCCCACTTATCATACGCTGGGTAGCTGAGAGGCAACGGAAAAGCTCAAGGAAAGGTAGTCGAGTCGCCTTACTCTTCTAAAGAGCTGATACCCCAAAACAGAGAGCCCGAACCAAGCTCCTGAGGGAGGATCCATAATCGATTCAGCAAGATGTGGTCAGTGATGCGGATCGAAAGTTGGTGACTGGATCGATGAACAGCTACTCAAGGACCCAGTTTTGAAGACTCGAAAAAGGATGCGCTAAATATTCAGGAGGTACCGCTAGCTCATCTGGTGTGAGATTATTGGGATCAAGGCCCCTCCTGTAAGCCTCTTCGCGAGCCGACAATGCTGATCTCTCGACGCCCATAGCTTCCGCGATATGGATAAGGCAAGTGAAGCAAAAGAGTACAGCGAAACAGGAGATGACGATACTGAAGACCTGCCAAGCGGATCGCCTAGCGTTTCGGGTCGAGGATGTAAACTCTACTTGAGAGCGAAGGTTATCCAAACCTTCAGACGCTGCGACCAGTTCCTGTCGCTTCCTCCACAGTAGAGCAATCCTGGAAGAAGGAGCGCATGAAATCACCTCCCAGGTGCATCAGGGACCATGTTCAATTGGAGTGTATGTTAGGAGGAGTTGACTGACCGTATAGATGCTAGAAAGCAGAGAGAAAACCAACTCTTTTTGAATCGGAACTCAACCACTCCAGGAGACGATCGCTCATCATCCAGAACAGGGATCTGATCATTCAGTACGAATTGAGGAGGTTGAGGGTACCTCACTTCGATGCTGGAGAGAGCCATAGGCGATGATACTATCAGAATATCGACTATAAGGGCAGAGAACCACACATATATAGCCGCTTCCAGACCTGTGATGGTTGCCGCTGCCTGAGACTACATTATCAACGGCCATTCCATACCATGTCATATCAACGGGTATGCAGAATATTCACATAGTCAACTACACGTGTTCATGGCTATATGAAGATTTTTATGGAATTCTGGAAACTCGTGTTTGTTGCTCTACACTGCTAATAAAGTTTTCCCTACTCCCTCTAATCATCAGATATCGTAACTGTTGGGTTACCAGTACACTTCTACCCTAATTCACTTGTGAGCTTATACAATTAGTGAGGAAACTCCTGAGCTCAGCTGAGGAGGCCAGATACTGTTCCATACGGTTACTCACTAGTTGTAGTAGCGAGAAGAAGGCTATGACAATGCAGACCAGTAGCTCCAGGTGATATTCATAGGCGTAGGCAGCTTCATTTTGAACCCTCATAACGTAGAGGATACAATAGAGGGAACAAAGGACGATGAGCAGACCATTGTATCTGGAAGGTGATTGCGCGTGATCTGTAGCGTCGACTCTGTATAAATTAGTGAGAGAGATATGAACATGGGAAGCTTCGCGTGTTGATGACACTGAAGAAATCCTCAGGAAACTCTTGTTGGTATTCGTCCCGTATATCGAGTGCAAGTTTTCGTAATGTAGTGAGGGAATTCTGGAGTTGGGCTACCGTCAACTACATGTGTTGGTGTCAATATGAGAATTCTGAGGAAATTCTAAAGGAAGTTCTCTCTTTGTTTCTGTACCCATCTTTCCGAGTTCGCATGTAAACTCATCTAATTGGTGAAGGAACTCCCGAGCTTAGCTGAGAAAGGCAAACATGCATCCGTACCGGTATGCATCAACAATCATGTGCCATCGAATTTGCCTCACTTGGTGCTCGCAAGAGCTGTGTTATTCAGAGCGACTATCTTGCCATTTACGAATCCAATGCCCTGTGTGAATAATCGCTTGCGGATGATGAGAAGAACAGTACTCCCAGATACGGCGCAGAACCTGGCGTCATAATAACTGATAGGTAACGAATTGGTGTTACCAGATGATTGCTGCTAATTGTAGGGAAGATACGAAGTGGGTTAAAGTAGGGAAAGCGCAGTCGTTACCGCATACAACTCCCGAATCGTTCATAGTTGCCTGGGTCGTTGACATTTAGTTGGAGATCGCGGCCATACTGTCGAATGTTCTGCGTTATATATTGCACCTCTGAACATCTAGTTCGCTCTTGGAGCCATCTACCTTATCGGAGTGCAGGAAGTGGGGGATGTGAGTCCGAAACGGGGAGATCATGTTCACGTTCTGAGCTGTCACTTCCGCCGTGGAATATTCTAATCAGTCTAATTCGAGTTCTATTCCCATATGAAGTTCAACTTCGTGCCAATGAATTTCGAATCGTCATAGCACTTCCAATTCCGTTGGGTGCTTATTGGAGCTTCCAACTCCATGCCTTTAGGAGAATAAATTCCGCGGTTGGGAATTTCCATGTTTTTACGTATGCCAAACCTCGGATGTCATCAAAATCAGCTCCCTCACAATCGCTATCAGGAAACCCACTTCCCCGGAGCACTGCTGATCATTTCATTTGCACCTTTCCCAACCTTAGAGATGTTAGTGTAGCGATCAGCCTGATGCTTTCTCCATAAGGCCCGAGACTGCCTTTGGGCAGCAGTGTCGGAAACCTTTATTATTCGGAGCACAGTTGTTGTCGCTGGGTACGTTCGAGCAAGGATCTGGTAGCACGGAGTAAAAAATCTAGAGCGAGCAAGACATGTATTCTTTGACAGGTGTTGCAGCTAAAAGAACGGTTAGATATTCGGCGTGCGCTAACGATACTGCGCAGCTTCGCTCCGCTATAGCATTTCCGGCTAAGTTTGGATTGTCGCAGGTTCGATCCCCAGTGAGGGATGTTTTTCCCTCATGTGGAGGTTCGAAGGAAATGAATGCCAGAATATGACCGCCCTCCACGATTTGCATCGACTCATCGACGACTCTTATGGCAGGAGCTCATCTGGGTTGCGCCTCCGTATTTCCGAGGAAAAACTGCTACCGGGTGTGCATGCGATTCATGAAAAAACACTGGAAGTCCGCAGTATCCATGAATTGCGAATTAGTGCCACAGTGGTTATCATATTCTTGAGCATAGTAAAACCTTCACTTCAAGGCTCCTCTAGTACCCCAGACACCTGTACGCACTCCTCTTGTTGTCGCATCTTCGCTTGCCTTCCATATGGACCAGCTACCCTACTATCTCGGGATAACCAATCTGAACCGGTCAGCCGGTCTCTATACGGCCAGTCTCGGCTCCGTGGCCACCGTTGGTCTACTCACCCCTTTGGATGTTGTCAAAAATATGATACAGGTTCTACTACGGGGAAGGGGAGCTTTGTACCACATTAGCGCGTTTCCTCACAGGGATCACCAGACTTCAATAACAGACGCTTACAATACACCGCTATGGATGCTGGACGGCACGTTAAGAATATCCTGGGTACTAAAGGCCTATGGACGGGTGTGATCCCGAGCCTTACAATAGCTGTACCATCTAATCTGGTAATAACGAGGCAGCCTTGTAGAGCGCTGCATTACTCCTGTCAAGGCCTTCTTGTCCTTGTACGAGCATTATCGCCGAAAACGGTACCCGATAGAGTGGGCAGCTGCTAAGGCCAGCATGTGGGTCGTTCTATTCTCCCAACCATGTAGTACTGAAGCCATAGGGGTGTTGATGAGGCGCCGGTGTTAGTGGAATTCCTCCGAACAAGAGTACAGGCCTGGGCTGGTCACGGCACTCCAGGATACTTCAACGCATTCGCTACTGTTTTCTATGAGGATACATTTGTCAGCTATTGGCGGGGACTTCTAGCCACCCTCATGAGGTTAGCTGTCTGTCTGCTAATCCCAGTACGACCAACACCCATTCAGGGATGTGCCATTCGCAGCTATATTCTGGTCGAGCTACGAGCGAGGGAAGGAGCTTCTGCTGCCTGTCCATGTGGAGCGTCGTGGTACGGCCAAATGGGGGACCAAAAGGGAAAAACTCGAGCTAGCTGAACGCTTTGCGAATGCAGTACTGGAAGGAGACAGTCTAATAAGCTGAGCTGTCTATGGTTTAGGAGGCTACTGAGGGCAGCGCCGGTATGTATGGACGAGTATGGAGTTACTCTTTCCTCAATGCCGCTGTCTGTGGGGCGGTGGCTGCTGGCCTGACGCATCCCTTTGATGTTATCAAGACTCAGTTGCAGGCTCATCAACGCGCTACTTCTCGGAACAATTATCGAATATACAGGTAGCCGATATGGAGGATACTTTATACAGGTTGGCCCATGTAGGATACACAATACGTTGACATGTGCCAAGGCGTTATATGGACAATATGGATGGCGTGGATTCACTCTGGGCATAGTCCCGAGGACGGCAAGGGTGGTACTATTTGGGTTGCAAGGGCCTCATTGAACTCTGTAGGTGGCTCTAGCGAGCGGCCTGTTGTTCGCCACCTATGAGCTGTGCCACGCTTTGATTGATGACCTAGAACTGGAGGAATTGAGGAGAGTGAGACTTCGGATCCATTAGAAGGGCTTGGAGGAATTTCGTGGCGTGCGGTAGGTTCAACGACATCGACAGTATCGTCGTAAGGTGAGCAGTCTACCTCGTACCAACGTCATCGACGAGGTGGTATGAAAGGCATGTGGTGCTGTTCTGTTTCTGCAGTCCCCTTCTTGTTGTTGTGTATTGTAGTAGTGAGGGGCCTTGACAGCAGCATAGATCTCCCATCATGCCTTCCTCAACAGAGTGTGAACAGGCCTTCTTGGAGGCCGTCCATCACGTCTTCACCAGCTGGACTGCTCTCACTCTCGTCAAGGAGAACTGTGACTGTAACCCGAGGTGACCACTCGCGAAGGGTACTACTGTTGAGCTGAGGACTGCTCAGGGAGGCCTCGCAACGTATCGAGAGTATCGCAGACACGGTCGTAGCCGATCTGCGGGCAGGTGGGGCTAAGCTGTCTAGTGAGAACAACGACCAAGTCCTCAAGTTGGCTGATAAACTTTTCGAGATGATCGCCAACAACTTCCAGATGGTAATGTCGGGTGACCGGGGTTCTTGTCATATTCGAGGCACTCGGGGTCTTTTCTTCATCGCTTTAATCGTCTCGGGACGAGCTCCGTAGTTTCTCAACATATGGATGCGACGTAGGCTGTCATGAGTGCTGGAAATCGGCAATGTTGTTACGACTCTCTGTAGGCTATAGGTGTATCGCAGGTTGATGGTGTAATGCTATTATGGGTTATCAACTAGCATCTGTTATGATGTAGTGTGACGGTCAGGTACTAGAGGACGGCTCCGATGAGGACGTTGCATACATGCTCATTCGACTATGGGAATCTTGTAGTCGAGGGGACCTCAGTGTTGCTCGGGAGGTCGTCAACGCTACACAAAATCGTGATCAATCCAAGGTGGGTCCATCTCATAGGAGTTGCTGTCACGATACCTGTGGGCTCAGGTTTTGGAGCAGTGTGCCGAAGAGGGCCAGGAGGAATCTTCCGAAGGGGATGGTGATGAGGAACAGGAGGAGGGTCCTGAGCAAGGTAATGCCATTGTTGTAGTCTTATGTGGTGACCAGCTTGAATATTAGACCGGCAGGAGTCTAAGAAGGAGCCCGAGGTGGACGAGGATGGTTTCCAGACTGTGACCAGAGGCCGTCGTCGTCGATAGCTGCTCTCATTTCCACTGCTGTTACCATACGTTCCTTTCCCTCAGCTCACTGCTTATTGTTCTTAGTAGGATGGGCTGTTCGATGCGTTATTATTCTGCTCCTTACATTGCTGAGGGAGCCGACGGGGCTAATGCTGATTCGATAGGCGGCCGGGATCCACACGCGTGTAGATTAAAGTGCACGATCTTCATGTTGCGGAGGATAGTCATTTTTCCACCAGTCGTCCGACTGCGAAGTGCACCCGTTTTTATCCATGCGCATCCGTAACTCGATGAAAGAACAAGATTATTGAACAGAAACGATCATTCATCAGCACGACAATACCACAGACAGCAAATACTCTCCTTTGATGATGGCCTAGGTCGCCAAGCACATTGGGCCGCTGAATCACAGGGTTGAGACCCGCTCAGACTAATCCTCCGAATTTCGGTCTACAAGCTGTCCCAGCCGAATGATTGAATCGTGGATACCACCAACATGTAGTTGACCATATGCATATTTTCCCACACTGCTCTCGAGTTTCTTTTGTGTGGTTGTCTCCGCACGGGTGGCTCAGGTCTTGTTACTACACTCGATTACTCCATAACCATCACTAAATTCCTGTGAGAAGACTGTGGTGATTTCTGAAGCGCATTGATACTTTATACCGTAATTGAGAATTCAAACACATTTGAGGTGGGAAAGATCGAGTCAATGAGTGTTAGTTATTCACAATGTTGATGGTGACAAACGCGTAAGCATCCCAGAAGGAAGCATGCGGAGTATAGAGATGTCAAAAGGCCTTCGTACACAATCTAGTTACGAAGACACAGCCAAACCATGGAGTTACACTTGAACCCACTGCCAAACGCGACTTGAAGGACTCTGTGACCAGCCTTCAAATCACCAGAGCGCTCCGTAAAACCTAGTTCATACCAGATGGAGCTGCTACTGGTATTACCCATATGATAAAGGGACAACTTAGATGGGAGAATATCACGGTCACTCAACTTTAGATTCTTCTGCACACCTTCCAAAACTGCTCTTCCACCGGCGTGAATGCAAAAATGGTTGATACCTTTCTTGAAAGATGGAATATACTTCCTGTTAAAGGCAACCTTTAGCAATTCCGGGATGGGCAAAATACGAGGGATCAGTCGTCTGAAGTTGACCGTCATAGTCTTGCCAGCAACATCAACAATATTCTTAGCAAGGAACACTCCTTTGTGACCATCCTTGTCCTCAGCCTCCCATACACAGCCATAGTCATCATCGCCCTTCGACAACTGAGCACGCACGACGTCGAGTAACATATATTTGGCTCGAGTGTCGGGCTTATTGGTGAGGAGGATGGCCGTAGCACCACAACGGAAGAGTGTATTCTGAACGAGGAAGCTACGCTCGTTACCGGTGTATATAGCTTGAGAGATCGACTCGGTAGAGATAACCACACAATTCATGTTCTTGGGATTTTGCAGGACGCGTTGAGCGAGATCAATGGATACACCATTGGCACTGCATCCCATACCTGATACGAAAATTATTCTTCAACAACAGCGTGGGTCTAACTTGCCTACCAGAGAGATTGTAGGTGAGTATATCACTGCGCATGCCGAATTTACTGACTAGTAGAGCACAGAGAGATGGTGTGGGGGACAGGAGGGAACAGTTGATGATGAGAACCTGAGCAGCAGGGCATAACCATACATTGCCACGAAGTCAGGGGCCATGAGAGGAACCCACATCGATGTCCCTTGCCGTAATTCCCGTCTTATCCATCAAACCTCGTAAGGCCTCACCCATGGCCGTCTCGGCTTCTTCACGCGAATCCTCCAGAGTGGCCGACCAGCGCTCGCCGGTCTTGAGGCTTTTAATCTGATGCGAAACTCGTAGATAATCCAGAATCCTGCTATAACAGTCTCTTACGAGGTTCGGCGGGAACGCCGTTTTGTCGCTGGTCCCCGACTTGCTAAGAAGCCTTTTCATGAAGGCGAGACTCTCTGGGGACAGATTCTTATCAGTTGAGAGGATCTTGATGATCTCAGCACGAGAGACTTTCCACTCATCAGGTGGATTGAACTCGCAATGATCTATACAGTAGACGCTCCTGGTGGAAAAGAAGGAACGTCGGATGAAGAACGCGAATACGGCCATCGTAGTAGCCACTGCACCTGACAATTGCGGCAATGCTATGGGAGGAGGACGGACATCGACCATTACTATTCTGTTGTAGCCATCCGAATGCGTCCCCGTGGATAATGAAGGCTATCAGAAGCGCCATCAACGCCATCATGAATGCCGACAACAACTGATACCTGCGTGAGGGACTCGAACGAGTTCGGTAAAGCCCCCCCAAGCCGTACCTATGGCAGGCTACCGTAACGTAGTCCTTCAGGCGGATAGTCCAGGCAACTTCATCCTGGAAGGGGACCGACGAAGTGGGCTCTACAGCTTCAGGGAAAGCACAACTCTTTGGTGCTCCAGCGGTGGCCGCATCAAGAGATGACATAACGAATGAGGAGAAGTAGAGGAAGGGGGAAATATATCTATACGGGAATAATATGCGCGATGGTACTACAGTCAAGACACTGGACTGCGTCTGTTGGACAAGAGGAGAGGGACAGCCTTTGTGCGCTAGCTAAGTTTGTTCCGTATAATAGACTATAAGTTGACATATTATGGCAGTTTCTGCTCGTGATGAGGCCGCCCTCCTTTACGAACGATATCCACAGACTTGCTGTTGGGATGTTCAAAATTATTAGCTAAAGCGCTGTTGCGCATGCGTGCTAAGGGTGAGGACTCCTCACTGAGGAGCTGGGCTAGGAGTTGTTTCACTTATCTCAAGAGACTCGCTGATCATTGAGAGATCTAAGGATTTCGATTGGAGAAGTACGGCTGGATCCCTCTTCTGTTGTCGTCGACCAGGACTTTCGAAGATGCCGTAACGTGGAATCTCGAATGAGCACGGTCAGACGGCTGCGTGGACGTCGCTGGTTCTAGCTGGTCTAGCCCTCTGATAGTGTTCAGCAATGAATGGGGTGATCTCGTTGTATGCATATCAACTCGAAGTTGGTCCACTTGTACTTACATGGTAAACTCAAGAGATCATTGCGGGAGACAACTCGTATTCAAACTCGCTAAAAAGCATTGTGACAAACATTCCTTGACATGGGAGTACGAGACGAGTAGCGCAAGATAGGAAAGTCTCTTTGCACTAACGATGGGAAGTTCTCATTGAGAACTATACACGAAGGCAAAGCCAGACCATGGAGTTACACTTGAACCCACTGCCAAACGCGACTTGAAGGACTCTGTGACCAGCCTTCAAATCACCAGAGCGCTCCGTAAAACCTAGTTCATACCAGATGGAGCTGCTACTGGTATTACCCATATGATAAAGGGACAACTTAGATGGGAGAATATCACGGTCACTCAACTTTAGATTCTTCTGCACACCTTCCAAAACTGCTCTTCCACCGGCGTGGATGCAAAAATGGTTGATACCTTTCTTGAAAGATGGAATATACTTCCTGTTAAAGGCAACCTTTAGCAATTCCGGGATGGGCAAAATACGAGGGATAAGTCGTCTAAAGTTGACCGTCATAGTCTTGCCAGCAACATCAACAATATTCTTAGCAAGGAACACTCCTTTGTGGCCATCCTTGTCCTCAGCCTCCCATACGCAGCCATAGTCATCATCGCCCTTCGACAACTGAGCACGCACGACGTCGAGTAACTTGTATTTGGCTCGAGTGTCGGGCTTATTGGTGAGGAGGATGGCCGTAGCACCACAACGGAAGAGTGTATTCTGAACGAGGAAGCTACGCTCGCTACCGGTGTATATAGCTTGAGAGATCGACTCGGTAGAGATAACCACACAATTCATGTTCTTGGGATTTTGCAGGACGCGTTGAGCGAGATCAATGGATACACCATTGGCACTGCATCCCATACCTGATACAAAAATGATTCTTCAACAACAGCGTGGGTCGAACTTGCCTACCGGAGAGATTGTAGGTTAGTATATCACTGCGCATGCCGAATTTATTGACTAGTAGAGCACAGAGAGATGGTGTGGGGGACAGGAGGGAACAGTTGATGATGAGAACCTGAGCAGCCGAGCATGACCATACATTGCCATGAAGTCAGGGACCATGAGGGGAACCCACATCGACGTCCCTTGCCGTAATTCCCGTCTTATCCATCAAACCTCGTAAGGCCTCACCCATGGCCGTCTCGGCTTCTTCACGCGAATCCTCCAGAGTGGCCGACCAAGGCTCACGGGTTTTGAGGCTCTTAACCTTCGCAGGAATGACATTACTGCAGCCAGTACATAGTTGAGAGCCCTCACCAAATTCGGGGGAAATGCGGTGTGATCACTGGTTCCCGAGTGAGCTAGGAGCTTCCGAATGAAGTCGAGGCTCTCGGGAGTGAAGTTGGGTTCGGTGGAGAGAGCCTCAACGATATCAGCACGAGAGACTTTCCACGCATCAGGTGGATTGAACTCGCAATGATCTATACAGTAGACGCTCCTGGTGGAAAAGAAGGAACGTCGGATGAAGAACGCGAATACGGCCATCGTAGTAGCCACTGCACCTGACAATTGCGGCAATGCTATGGGAGGAGGAAGGACATCGACCATTACTATTCTGTTGTAGCCATCCGAATGCGTTCCCGTTGGTAATAAAGGCTATCAGAAGCGCCGTCAACGCCATCATGAATGCCGACAACAATTGATACCTGCGTGAGGGACTCAGCAACCTTCGATAAAGCCTCCAAACCGTACCTATGGCAGGCTACCGTAAGGTAGTCCTTCAGGCGTATACTCCAGGAAACATTATCCTGGAAGGCGACCGACGAAGTGGGCTCCACAGCTTCAGGGAATTCACGATTGTTCGATGCTCCAGTAGCGTCCATGACGAGGGATGGCATATTTCCGCGGGTGGAAAATGACTATCGTTGGCGGAGGCGATACGGCGATGAATTTGTCAGATTCAGCGAATTCACAGCTCAGGAGTCAAGAGTTATGGTTATGAGTAGAGTAGGCGCGATTCAAAAACGCAGTCAGAGACAGAGCTGCGTTAACATGCAGGCAGTTCATGGATAACAACTGCAGAAGTGTTCCTCGTTGCATGCCCATCCGGGTGCACGCATACCCAGATGCACGCGTGTGCATGGGCAGAACACACACGTTGGGCCGCCCTCGGCTGAGTAAGCGAGTAGATACCGCTCTTGAGGGATAGTGATTGTACTAACAGCGAGATTGATTGTATCGAGGTGCATCTTGAGATGGTGGCATAGCCGCCCCGCCCGGAGAAATCGACTTCACTGAGACACTCCAAGTGGTGGCATAGCCGCCCCGCTCGGAGAAATCGACTATACTGAGACACTCCTTTAAGTGGTGGCATAGCCGCCCCGCTCGGAGAAATCGACTATACTGAGACACTCCAAGTGGTGGCATAGCCGCCCCGCTCGGAGAATCGACTTCAGTGAGACACTCCAAGTGGTGGCATAGCCGCCCCGCTCGGAGAAATCGACCTCACTGAGACACTCCTTCAAGTGGTGGCATAGCCGCCCCGCTCTGAGATTGATCTAAGACCGAAGCAGGCCTCAAAAAAGGTGTAGCGGAGTGTGTGTGCCTCCAGAGAGCTCTCCCGCTCTTGACATTATTTAAGGAGAGCCCTCCTTTCTCCATTCCTTTGGTATTAGATATGTATAACTCGCGGTGGGGATGCCTTATGGAGGGAATCTGCCTCGAAGGAACCCGCAACAGCCTCGAGAAGGCCCATGTTGAGAACTCATTACATTCTGAGGCTCCCAAATGTACGACCCACGGCATATTACTTGCGCTATCGACGTTATGGAAGCAAAATCAATCGAAATCAAGCAAAATCCATCATTGCTTGGGACGAAAGCTCTATCTAAAACTCGTAACACAACGCTTGATACTGTACTAGAACTCAGCAGAGTAGTGTGTGCGAGAGGGACGGCCTCGTCCAGAGATACATAGCGTATATTTGAATAGGACGCATCGCACTATTGAGCAGGTTGATTCACGCGAAAGTAATCTTTGGATGATACAACAGTCACGAGGCTTCCGTCCCTCTACTCAGTACGGAGGCATAACCAGGTCATCGAGTTGCATTTGAAACCACTCCCGAATGCCACTTGCAGTATTCTGTGACCAGCTTCGAGATTTTCAGATCTCTCTATGAAACCCAGCTCATACCAGATAGAGCTGCTGCTGGTGTTTCCCATGTGGTAGAGGTCCAAACGGGAGGGGAGGATATCCCGATCGCTAAGCTTGAGGCTCTTCTGAACACCGTCCAACACACCACGACCACCAGCATGGATGCAGAAATGGTTGATACCCCTCTTGAAATCAGGAATGTACTTCTTGTTGAAAACCACTCTAACGAGTTCAGTAAGAGGCAATATGTGCGGTCCCATCCGTCTGAAGTTGACAGCGATGGTCTTGCCAGCGACATCAACAATGTTCTTAGCAAGAAAGACTCCTCTGTGACCCTCTTCGTCCTGATCCTCCCACACACATCCATAGTCCTTTTCTGTTCGACTCTGCTGAGCACGGACTACATTGAGCAACTTATATTTGGCTCGAGTGTCCGGTTTGTTGGTGAGGAGGATGGCCGTGGCACCACAACGGAAAAGGGTGTTCTGGACGAGGAAACCGCGCTCATTGCCGTTGTACACTTGCTGGGCTGTGATCTCAGTAGAGACCACAACACATTTGAGATTCTTCCTGTTCTGGAGAAGACGTTGAGCCAAGTCGATAGATATACCATTGGCGCTGCAGCCCATACCTGCGATGTACTATTAGAGGCCTAAACAGCTGAGAAAGCAATCCTACCTGACAGGTTATACGTCAGTACATCGCTGCGCATACCGAACTTGTGCACGAGCATGGCACTAAGGGACGGAGTTGGAGAAACCATAGAGCAGTTGACGATTAGAATCTAACCAGAAGCAACATGCCGAATACAAGGTTATGTCAAGAAGTTGTCACTGCAACTCACATCGATATCTTTCGCGGTGATTCCTGTCTTGTCCATAAGGCCTTGAAGAGCGCCACTCATAGTAGTCTCGCCTTCGAAACGAGAGTCGGCCAAGGTTGAGCTCCACCTCCGGCCATCCTTCAGAGATTCAATCTAAGCCATACGTAGGGATTCCGAATAGTCACATAACTAACCATAACCGTACCATGTTGGGAGGGAAGGCCGTATGGTCACTGGTGCCGGAATTAGTGAGAAGCCTGCGCATAAAATCGAGGCTGTCTGCTGTGAAGTTTTTATCAGTTGAGAAGATTTTAATGATCTGTTCACGAGAGACCCTCCATGAATCGGGCGGCAAGAACTCGCAATGGTCGATGCAGTAGACGTTGCGTTGAGAGAAGAAGTGACGTTGGACGGAGAAGACAAAACCGGCGAACACTAGAGCAATAACACCTGAGGGGGCCGGGTAATGGGAGCACTATCAACACGCGATAGGGTTCAACAGATGCCGCGACGGTTACTGTTATGTTGCAGCCATCCAAGAGCGTCCCCGTTAGTAATATAGGAGAAGACAACAGCAACGACCGCCATGAGTATTGCCCACAAGATGCGGTATCTGAATAACAGTTATATGGCTGCATTGATGCAGAGGAGGCAGGCCTGACTTGTAGAAGGCTAAGGTGATGTAGTCCATGACACGAATGGTCCAGGCAACCCTGTTCTCGAACGGGACTGAGGTTGTGGGCTCATGAACCTCCGTGAACATCGGAGTAGCAGTCGTATCACTAGTAGTGGCGGACATAGAGCGAGAAACTACAGGGAGTAGAAGTCATGGATGCTTCGGGGTTCAACATTGGGTGGATAAGGGTACAGTCGTTGGTAATAGTTCTGGAAAGCCTGTGTGAGAGGGGCAGGGTTGTGAGGTAAACCAACCTTACTGGAGAGTCTCTACCAATGACTTCCCAGCTCAATCCTCGACAGCGGTAGAGCGAAGCATCTCAAAGCAATGAGAGAATCCAGACCAACTATCCTAACCCTACAGCGCGTGTGCGGGGGCTACCGACTGTAAGATAACAATTTGTTGGCGCAGCAGAGAACGCCTGTTCAAATGCCCAGCGAGGTTCGATTCGACCCGAGGCCAGTTTCTGTCATATTTTGAAGTTGTGACACATCCTGTGCTTTCGATAGCGACTATTCACGATTTCCCTTGAAATCTGATTTACCCAAATAGCTCTGTCGTATTGTAAGTTTCGTTTTCTGTGGC